TATTCCCCGACTAAGTAACCTTCCCATCCCCACGTTGTGAGCCTCCTTAACATGCCTTCTTTTGTGTTCTAAGTTTGCCACTTAAAAATTCAAACTGCCTTGCTCTGTATGAGTATTTGCTTCTCTCAGTTCCTCTAAACAGCACCCACAAGCCACAAGAAGAGGCCACACTTGGGATTATAACTGGGAAGCTGCAGACCGCTCCCGGCAGGAGGGGGTTGACGGAGAAACGGGTAATTCCTGTTCCTGGGACTGGCCCGTGTTTTTGCTTTGGCTCCTGATCAAGGGGTAACTAAGCAACGGGGGGATTTTGCCAAGTGTTGAAGTGGAACAAAGGGAGCTCCAAGGCCTGGGCTGGAAGTGAGTAAAAAGCAGCTCAAAGAAACCAGCCAGAGCCAAAGCAACATTCCGCACGGGCACCAGAAATGCCTCACATCCAGGACGAACGGGAGGCTGCACCACAGCATGTCACCCCTTTGTACCCGTCCGATGTTTTACGTCTCAGCAGGCTTGCAGATTCACAGACCTAAGAAGTGATTTGTTTTCTCTATCAAAAACCACTAACCCTTGAAGGACAATTTTGCAACTTCTGTCAAAATTTTACATGCTTATAATCTGGAAACTACTGACTATACTTCCCAGAGGTTCTCCTCAGATATGCCTGCACGTCTGCAGGATTTCTGGGACATTTCTTAGGGAAAAGCATGAAACCATTTAATTGTCTTTCAATAAAAGTTTACTATTAGACCTTTGACACTGTATCTGTATTATAGAATACCATGCAGTCATTAAGAAATACAAGGTGGAAATACATGCACTGATATAAAAAGATCATTAAGTGAAAACAAAATAAGTGGTGAGTGAGTGTACACAGAGTGACTCCATATGTGCAAATCAAACAAAGTGAATACTGCAAGCACCTCAAGAAACAGATTACAGAGGAAGGAATGAGAAGCTTTTTGCTTTTTACTCTAAACCCTTCTGCCTTATTGGAATTTTTTTGTAATAAATCTGTATTTCTTTTTTAATAATAACTATGAGTTTAAAAAGAAAAAATTAAAATGTACATATATAGGCATATATACACATAATGTCTAAGGAAAATACTTTATTATAAAGCATTGAAGCACTTGATCTGACAGGTCTGATCATAAAGCAGGAGAACAGAAAGGCTGAAATTCACTATCATGGGAGAAAAATGTAAGACATGCAGCCACCATATGCACTTGATCGTCCATTCAAACATCCGTTCATTTACATATTGAAGGCCAAAACTGCGTCATATGCTACAGATTTTTTTTAAAAACTGAACTAAAATATGGCCTTTGTCTTCAAGGAGTTTATACTCTCAGCAGGAAGAGATGTACACAGAGATGAATAACTGCCTGAAACAGCCAAGGACATCCGTACAGGGTACTGTGGGGACAGTGGACAGCTCTGCTGGATGGGGAGAGGGCCAGAGGCCAGCAGGAACCCTTCACCTTCTTTATCTAATGCAATCAGCTCCGAGATTTCATAGAAAATCATTCATTCATCCAGCTAATATTTACTGAGTATCTCAGTGTTCGAAACAATAGCAACCTTGAAATAATGAAAACCCAGAGGGAGCAAAGCCACAGGGACATGTGGTCTTATAATTCAGGACGCAACCAAAGTGGGGGACAGAGAAGAGAGATTCTCTCATCTGGAATCTGGAATTTGTTCTTTCTTGCCAGAGGCTCAAATGTTCTACAGAAGCCCAGCGGTTACAGGCTGCAGGGCAAAGGGTGTGCAGAGAAAAGAAAGCCAGTTCCAGGAGCAGGCCACTTCAGCAGACGCTGCCAAGTGCACTCAGCAAAGAGGATAAACCTCCTATGTTCTGGCAACATTCAAGTCTGCAACCGCAAATTAGTTGGTGAAGACAGTGCATGAGGTCTGAACTTTACTAAATTGTCGACAAACCCTAGGACTTCACAATAAGAGCTTTGAGGATGAGAAAGGGACCGATCTGCATCGTATGACGGGGGCAGCAAGGCAAAGAGCAGGTACGTGAAAGTTCAGGGAAATAAGCAAACCCGAGATGACAAAGTAGACAGTCAAGATGGCAATAATTCCTTAACCATACCTAGTTAACGAGTTTGGTCAGATCCCTAAGAGAGACAGGATTTGTTACCGACAAAATGACGCCCTATATTTTTACTCTATTATGTATGTATTTATGGTGGAATGAACACTTCAAAAACTATATAGATTTTCCTAAAGTGTGAATTCAGCCATTCTCTTCTTCAGTTAAAACAAATAAATTCCTTTGGGGAATATTTACTTGAGTTGAGTGGACTCTTCTGACAGCGAGTCGGGATCCTGGTTCCTAGAATAGGTAAGACAGGTAAGAAGATAGCTTAACAAGGCTTACTCCTCCCAGGGCGGGCCACACTCTAAGTAAAAAGGGAGTAGATACTAGTCATGATTACTTTCCTTGGATCCCAAACATCCAAGTTACAACCAGCCATCTTCCACTGCAACTTTTCGAGGGAGATGTGCAAAATTACTGTATATTATTATAAAGCTTAAACCCAAAATCCCATATAGGATTCTCAGACTTAGTGAATGAGTTGAACTCAACAATAAAATTCCTTTTAGGCCTCAAATCTTTCCTCAACGTCCTCACCTTAGGCCTTGCCCCGGATATCTAACAAACCCAGTGACAAAAAGAGTGAGACACCAGGGAAAACACTGCAGAAGCACAACCATTTCCATAGTGTGCCCCGTTCCAGCTGCTTGTTGCTGGTAACAGACCACCCCAAAACGTAGTGGCTTACAAAACAGCTCTTCTCTGCGTCCTACGGTGTCAGGTGGGCAGTCCGACGGAGGCTGGAGGACCCGCTCCCAGGACGGCTCACTCTGGCTGCTGGGCGTCAGCTTGTGTCCGTCTGCACGTGGGTCCAGCCCCAGCAGCGCGGGCTTCCTCACAGCGTGGCGGCCGGCCGCCTTGTGTGAGCATCCCAAGGGAAAACCTGGTAGACTCCACGTCGCCTTTTAACGTCAAGTCTCACGGCTCACAGAGTGTCACTTCCAAATTAGTCACTTCCAAATTAGTCACCACAAGCCCACCCAGATTCAAGGAGAGGAAACAGATCCCACCTCTCCATGAAAAGACTGTGA